AAACATTACAGGAGCCATGAGAACGACACCAACCGCGGCAATGGAATCTGGACCTCTCTGGACCTGTACGTAAAGGAAGTTGCGTTAATGGCTATGGTACGATTGCGCACGGCTGGTGTAAACCACGAAGTAGGAATGGGTCAATTGAGGCTAAGCCTATGGCGGGAAGCGTTTACTGCGCAACCTCTGCTGTAGGCAATCAGTGATGCAATTGAACCCAGGTTTGTGTTTAATAAACCTTACAAATTACAAATTAAGCAGATATGTTAAGCAGATATATATGCAATACGCATATATACAGACGGCTCAAAAACCAAAGAAGGCTCAGGATGTGGAGTATACTCCAGATCACTAAGCCTAAGGATTAAGTGGGAATAGGAAGAAATACCAGCGTGGTCCAAACAGAACTGACTGGTATCTGAATCGCCACAAAAGAAATAACCAGGAAAGGAATCTCTGATAAAAACATAAAAATCTGCACTGACAGCAGACAACCCCTATTAGCCTTGAACAGACAACATATAACCTCGGAGCTAATACTGGAGTGTCACCAAGATTTAGCCAAAGCTTCGGTAGATAATAACATCATCCTGAGGCCCACCTCAGGAACCCATTGAAGGGCAAGACAAGAGTGAAGGTAATCGCATTGCCTACTCTTTAGCCAAGGAAGCTGCTGGACTAAGAATTCCAGGACCCAGTGGCACCTACTGCCTGATGACTTCGACAATTGCGGAACTAGTCAAATGTTACAACCATGCTCAATCCTTAAAGAGATAGGATGGAATCAAAGGATGTAATCTTGTCAGGATCACCTTGGGCGACCCTGGGAAGCTGGCGCTGTAAAAATATCTGGCGATGACCAGGAAAAATCTACGCCTAATAGTAGGATTTCTGACTAGTCACTGTCAACTAAGGAAACACCTCCATAATATGGGGCTGGTGGACACACCTCTATGCAGGATGTGTGAACAGGAAGATGAGACTGTCAGGCATGTCCTATGCGAGTGCCCGGAGTTATCGTCAATGAGAGTGTGTGCTCGGCGAGTCTTGGCCTACACCTGCCGATATGAAGGAGATGTCTCCCAGTGACCTGTCCACCTTCCTGGAAAGGACAGGATGGACGATGACCTAGGAGGACAACTTCTCGGGAGGATGTACAATGTGGCCTAAGTGCTGTGGGCTTACACTCACCCTCCCTACTCTACAGATGCTTTATTGGTTTTTGTTGTTTCCTTTTGAAAGGGGACTTACAGTAATATTGCTTGTTCTTGAGAAAATCGAGAAATGATCAATTTTTTCACTTCATTTTTGGTCTTACTTAGGAAATTTTGTTTTAATTTCATATAATTTTGAATAGGCGGAAGAGTACCCAACACTCTTTGTATGACGATACCTACTAATTATTTGAATCAAAAGTGAATATGATCTATTGTCATCGGTAAAGCGATGTACGACAATTCCGAAACAAACAATCCAAAAACATCGAAAGTTTCAATTGCAACAGAGCAGAAACAGTATTCACTTGAAAAAGTTTAAGTATTTCCAATTTTTTTGCAATCATACCAGCTGCACCTTTTGAATTAGTTGCACTATCAAAATATGAAGCTTCAACTGTGTCTACGTAGGTAAAGTCCCAAACGAGAGGTTTCCAGATTCCCAAGAAATTGGAATCATCCCGTCTGGACGCTTTCCATTATCTCGACAGACACCAAAGGGTTCAAGAACTGAATGAACCTCTGCAGTGGCTAGAGCTTTTTTTATAAAGTCATCAATGGAAGGATGTCTTGAAAATCTGACAGAACTAAATTCAAAGCTCAGGCCATGTTAATTATTTTCTTATACAGTGGATCTACATCTGCACTTGTGACTAACACAAATTGAAGGAACTAACCGAAACCCTATTGAATTTTTGAAAGATGCGTCATCTGAAAGAGTACCCAAAGAATCCACAGGAAGAGTATTTAGCCAGGCACCAGATTCTTTGAACATAACAACTTTGAGTCTAGTAATCGCTATATCGGAACGTTCAGAAGAAGTTGATCATAAATCAAATCAATTGCTAGATAATTTCAGACTTCCTGACACTTTTTATTTTTGGAAAAGACATTTTTCGTCTTCTGAATAATACGCATCTTTATTTTAACCATCCAAGTAATACGCCTAAGATATTTCATACAAAGATTTGGAAATAATGGATTTGATCAAACAACGAAAACTGTTATTGGAGTTATGGAAAGCTGGCAGTGGAAGGGACGAATCTAATCAAATACCTAAACCACCAGATTAACGGGGAGAGTAACTAGACTGAAAGTAATATCTTCGAAACTATTATTGATACTTTTTTCAAAAATTGGCGTAGGGTGGAATTGAATTCTTGTAACTCCCTTTGATAGACCCAAGTTGGTAGAGACGAGATAACACTAACATTTCTATGTGAGGCAACATGATAAAAACTCTACAGTGAGAGGAGCTTTCAATAACGACCAGTTTGTTTTGGAAATGATTTTAGTTTGTGGAAAGATGATTTTGAGTGTATTTGTGAGCATCTGAAAAGGAGCAAAAATTTCATATTTGTCGAAATTTAATTCAGGTCCTATCTCATTGTAGAGGTGAAATGAATTCCTGGAGAACAAAATCTATATTACCACCAATAGAACCCTCGTCTAGGTATCAGCAATTGGAATTGATGTCGATAGACATGTCAGTTCATTCAAAGCGAGTCAGAAAAAAACAGGACCTAGAGGATCATCTTGTTGTACTCCTCTCTGATATATTTTTTCCGAAGTACATGTGAAAGTATTTGTTTCGGAAGGAATTTTTCATTCAGTTTGTATTTGACAGTAATATCTATGAATGATCTATATACCTTCGTGAAAAGTTTATTTCAAACTTGATTGCTTTCTTCTTTTCTTCAAAGTTTCCCACATTTTTTATATAAAGATGGAGAAGTAGAAATCCAAAAACATTTCTTTCCTAAAAACTACTTTTGTTATTTTTCAATTATTATTTCATCGAAATAATAATTTTTCAAATAACTGAAGTGACAATTTTCAACTAGAAAAGGTAATTTTCCTCCCTCATTATAATAATAACAATAATAACAACAATAACTGTTAAGTCGTCAGGAGTTCAGATCTGCTTCTTTGCATGGTCCGAGACCATGAGAGAGCAGGAATTTAGGGCAGCTGCCCGAGAAGCTGATGAACTCGGTATATTTTTCGACACTGAAGGAGGTGAGATCACCTCACTTCTGCTGAAACACAAGGATAAACCAATGCTGGGGTCTTCTTCAATAACATTGTAGACCTTGGCTTATCAAAACGCCTGACTTTCGCTTTCCTCAGGTCGAGTGGGCTGAAGTCTAAAACTGAGGGGTTTTCATCATAGCTTGCCAGGATGGTGTCCTCAACACCTTAGTCCACCGCAGTCCCGTGATTGGTATAGAGATTCCTGACACAAGGTGCAGGGCCTGCCACGAGGCGCCCGAGACCCTAATGCATTTGCTATTAGCATATCCAGCATATCCATTGACATAACGCGGCCCTTAGAGTGCTATATTATCATCTACGGCACTCTTACGGTATTGAAGAGGTACCGGTGATGTCCTACACTCCGGGGGATATTGAATCCGTTGTGGGGAACGAGAAGTACTGAATTTATTGGAACTATTCGTTCCCCACCCTCATGCTCATACAAGCTAATAAGCCTGAGGTAGTCGGTCTCGACCACCAGAGCAAGACGATATTTGTCGTGGAGTTTTCAGCTCCTGGCAAGACGAGTATCGTCCGAAAAGAGGAGAAAAAACGGATAAAATATCGAGATCTTCTCTTCCAGCTCCGCAGACTCTATCCAGATCACTCTGTCGAGATGGTTGTTCTGATTATTGTAGTCCTTGGTGAGATGATGCCCTCTCTACTCTCGAATCTTAAAATCATACCGGCTTGCCGCACTAAGGCAGAAATCATAACCAGACAGATGCAGAAGGCTGTCGTTCTTGGCTCACTGCGCTTGCTCAGGGCACATGATTCTCGAACCCAATGATCACTTACCACACGGTGTGGGGAGTGGTCGTTGGTTGATAATGCTGGCGCGCCCTCCCGAAAAAAATAATAACGACTTTTATTCATCATCATACAAAGGTATAAATAATAAGAAAACACAGACAAAATAATTCACATCATGATGAAATGGCGTGGTTCAGCATTAGCTGTTTTTAACTAACCATGAGAAAAAGAGTGTCAAAAAGTGAAAAATATTACTAAACATCTCCGTTACAATATAATCAAACCACATTCCCTCTCAGCTGTTTTGTTAGCCGTTTCTTAAAATTTATCAAGCTAATTGATTTGAGTGTTAGGAATCACACGTTAAAAGGTAAGACCTCGTTAATCCTTAGCTCACACAAGTTTCCACCTCTGAGGGTTGTCGTTCGTAGGGGTGCGACAGCTGATTAACGGAAAAAACAGAAAACGGAATTGATTTGAGTTCATTTAGCAATTGGTTATAGAGATTGGCAGCATTATAGAAGAAACTGCGAGTGTATATAGAACTAGAATTTTTGGGTATTACCAGTAAGTTTCCATGACGAATACGAGAATTTTGTAGACTTGAGAAGTCTGTCAATTTTTCATAAATAAGTATATGCTTTTCATGCAAAAGATCATGGGTGACTGTGAAAAGATGTAGTTTTTTTATGTTTTAGACTGAAAGCCAAACCGATAATCTCATATTGTTGCTAGTGTAGTAATATTTACGACATCCGTATATGAGTAGGCACCTCATGCGGGAAATTTGTAGTTTTTGCAAACATAAAGAGTCACATATACTATCAAAATATGAGATTCTAGAGAAATTAAGAAATTTACACAATTTCAGGTTGATTATTCAGAGGTGGGATCAACGATCATAACATAATGAATCTGTATTAGATACACAACAGAACTGAAAGATCATCAGATGTAGGGTATTATAATAGAATGAATTATATTTACAGTACTTACTCTTCACCTTGTAAAGAACTAATTGTCCCACTCGGAAAACTAAAAAACACATAGGCTACTGAAATGAAGTTGAGAATAATAATTTGAAGGAACATGATTTATATTATGTCAGTTTCATAGCTGAACATCAACTGCGAGCCCATGTTAATGCGAGGTTTCGAAAATAAACTAGACATTATTTTTAGATATAGTTGGGTGAATAAAATTTCAATGTGCATTCACTCGTTTATGGATCATTATTATATTATAGCCATTGAACAAATAAATGATTAGTAGTCTTCAAGATAAATATTGATTGAGTGTTGCGTTATAGATTTTATTGCCCTACTATGAAAAACTGCAATCCGATAAAACTTTTCGAATAAAACCACTTTGATAGAAGTTAATTGAGTGATGTGAGATATTCCTAATTTTCTACAATATTCATCCTACAATAATAATCTCATTCGGGAAATAAATTAAATGGAAATAAATTTTACAATTATTATTTTAAAAAGAATAGAAAGAGACGTTGTCTGCCCTCTAACGGTTGATAGTTAAAAGATCTAACAATAAATCATTTTAGAGTTGGTACTGAAAAGAATTCTTCAACTATTTTTTAATTCATTTCGGAGGATCACTGAGTGAACGCCACCTCGACTTCATCATTCGAACGTGAAACTCAGGAAATTATTTGCCATAAGAATCCGTAGTTGTAGTTATACGGTTATACTTGAATTGGGACCCCAGCGGTGAATGCATTCGACGTCTGCATAGTCTGAAGACTATATCATCTACATTTAACGTGTTAGGAATCACACGTTATGAGGTAATACCTCGTTAGTCCTTAGCTCGCACAAGTTTCGACTTCTGAGGGTTTTCGTTCCTAGAGATGCAACAGCTGGTTAACAGAAAAACAAATTTTATACATATTTTTTTTTATCGGGGAGAGACACATACGTATAAAAAAAAAATATTATTTCTAAATGAAATCTCGAAACATGTATCTTTCTCTATCGCCCCGGAAAAGTCAACCAGAAATTGAGCCAAAAATATTATTAAGGTACATATCTTTGAACATTACAATAAAATTTGAATTAACTCGGATTGGTTGTTTAGGGACTCGACAATATGTCTGGGCCATATAAAAGCAATCCACATTTTTATGCCGGCCCATACCGAAGTATGATCGGATAACGTTTTGTTTCTCGAACATGATACCATGAAAAATAAATATGGAGTCGGGTTGACTTCAGATGGTTCCGCTACTTCAGGAATAGGCAGCCGATGCAGATGTGCTTAGTTAGGGTGTAAAGAGACATTGTATATAGAATTCAGACGACCTTGCGGTCAGAAGCAACTTCAGGAAATCGCTAGGCATCGAATCAAAGTAAAAGACGCATCTTTTGGGGAAAAAGCGGCTGCTCTGCCGTTAACATATATAATGATAGGAAAATGTCGATTGAAAAAAAAAACGGTGAGGTGGTAGCGTTTGGTTCTGGAATCGTCAAGAAAGTTTGCTATATTCTACAGACAGGGGATAGTGAATTTGTTATCAGGAATTCTAGAAGGCCTACTGAAATCACGCTGAAACCAGTACGCAAATATACTGAAGCTGCAGGTGGAAAAAATGAAATCCTCACACCGCGAATAATACCAATACAAAAAATTTATGAGATTCTACCTCTCAGACCAATCTTTGCCCGATTATCAGCACTATATAGTTGAGCTGACGATACGCCTGGCATAACCAAAGTAGTTTAAGCAGCAAGGTCGAGTAGGGAGCGATTGGGGGAGGCAAAATGCCATATACATACATGGTGACAATCGCTATAGGCAGTGACGGCTCGTGCATTGGAGAACAGGGGAGGCTAAAGTCATAGACTATAAATACACAGAAAAGCCCCCCAGAGGCGCGAAAATATTTTGGGGTACCGCACCTATTTAAAGCAAAATAAAGGATGGATGGGGTAGGAAAGGTGGTTAAATCTGGTTTGTTTAAGTGAATTCACATTGCACCCGCAAACTACTTTTAATCGGCGGTCATTGAAATTCAATACAGTATGTGAGGGTCCCGCATTTTGAAAGGTGAATTGAAAGGTGTATTTTGTAATTTTGGATAGGGGTTTTGTAGGGGTATACACAAATAACAAATATTATCAAAAACACTAAAACGATTTACCGAAATATTTTTCAGTCCCGGTCTGTCACGGCATCCCGTCCGAAAGTCGTACACTAACGGATACCAACTGGAGGCTAGCCTTCTCTAACGCTATAATTTCTGTAACTGAAATTGAGTTGGATATACCACCAAGCAATAAGAGTATGTGAATCAGTGAAAATGTATCCATCATATCACGAACGTTTTCATTGTCGGAATACTCTAGCGAGTTGTGCGCCAACTTCTATTTACCCAGCAACTCCATATTCAATGTGGATGTTTAAAAATAACATTGCGGCTATTTAAAAAAAATCTAACTCATTTCCATCATAATGAATATTTGATCTGGGACATGTAAAGTCGAATAAATCAATAAAATTATTCAAAAATGTATTGAATGCAACCGGCAAATGAGATTGGAAGAATATTGACAAGGATTTTTCCTGCATAGAAACAACAATACTCTGAAATGCAAAATACGGTCGAAATATTACATCCATCTCAAGCATGAAGACACCATCGCTGAAATTTTGGGGTTCGATGCTATATGTTCAGCAACGATGAAACTCACGAATCAACAGTGCCTGTGAATGTCAATAAGGCGATAATAATTCGTGTGGATTGTAATATTACAGCTGGAGTATATTCAAATAGTGAGGAAATCCACAGCACCTTTGTAATTGATATGGATGTAGAGCCTGGATATAAAGTCACTAAGGCACCAGAAACTATTATTTATATGCCAAACCAGCTTGACTGCCGTCAGTACCTCGATATTATCACTCTACGCATATTAGATAATAATGTTAATCTAATTAATTTCAATTGTGAAGAATACTTAGTCAAATTGAAAATGATGAAGCTATAATAACAATTCCCATAAATTGTGGGAAATAATGGTTTTGGCTTTCTACTTCTCCATTTTGATACAAAAAAAAATGTGGGAATCTTCCAAAGAAAGGAAGAAGGAAGATGTGTAGAACATGCAAAGAAGTAACTTCCAGCAGAAACTGGAAGAAAAAGTATTTATGAAACAGTTACTTTCATATAAACATTAAATCACACGAAAAATACTTTCATATGAACACTGAATTATACAAAAAACACTTTATCTATTCAGTTTATATTCCAAAAATTCGTTATAGAATTGAATCAGATATTACTACAGGATTCCTACACAATATAGTAAATGAAAGAGGTGAAATTTCACTGGTAGACATCGAATGTTTCGACTTAAGGCACCTGCATTATTAGCTCTTCAGTACCAAATCTGGATAACATCAGTGATTCATTAAAATGAGTGAATGAAGCATTGATAGGTTTGGTCGCAGAAGTAAGTCAGCTTCAACCATTATCTGCAAGGAAAACCTGGGTTCCAGATTAACTTTCGATGGAAACTTTGATATGAAAAACAAACGTTTGAAAAATCTAGCAGAGCCTGAAGAGAGTACGGATTGTTCTACTCGTAGATTTATTGGTTTACACATGTCAAAGTTGATGAGAGACTTAGATTCCAATATTGATGGAATTAATTCAAAATTACATGAAGTAGAAAAATATTTTCTATCTGTCAGTGAAGACTTCTTCACGTTTAGGTTGAAATTAGTAGAATTTGTAAGAAAATGTGAGCATATGAAATGATGCAATCTGATATGAAAAAAGTTCTCATAAAGCATTCAAATAATTGAGCAGCAAAAACAATTGTGAGTGATAACCAATTTCATCTGTGAGAAACATCATTATAAAGCTTGAGCTGATATAATTGTAACTCAGTAGTTATTTTCTCCTGACAGAGAGCAGTTTATAATCATTTATTGAGCTATACATTCTACGGTGATTATGTCTGAAAAATGTGCGATTGAAGAAGGAAAAAAGCTGACTCTTTCCACGCTCGTCCGCCGAATGATAAGGATATATAATAAGCTGTAGTAACCTAAACTTCCTCAAATTCACTAGTTAGAAGCTGCAATATAAACAAAAGCTGTAATATGGCTGCCATCACCGCAAGTGGAACACTGTTCTGAACCAGAAACTGTACAGACCTCAGCAAATTTTGATGCTTCATGAAGCTCAGATCTAACCTTCTTTAAAGTATTGTTCTCATGTATGGAGCTTCACCCCTAAACATATCCTGAAGAAGCTGCTGGATTCCATCCAGAAAAGAGCCATCCACCTGATTAGAGATTCAGATATCACTTGTAACCTTGATAGTCTGGAACACATCGAAGAAAGGTTGGAGATTTGCCTCTCTTTCATAGATACTTTCATGGGAGGTGTTCAACTAACTTGGCACATTTGATTCGACCAAGAGCGGTACGTATCAGAAATACGCGACGGACTGTGACTGCTCGTCGTTTTGAGGTTCCACTTAGTACACCTCGAACACTGTTTAAGAACACTTCCATTTGAAGAACTGCGTGTATATGAAATAAACTTCCTGATAACTTTTTTCCAAATTAATTTAATTTCCAGCGATTCGAATCCAACGTGAATCACTACTTTCGCACAGGCACCGCTCTTAGAGCGTCTCAAGGGATTTATCTGTAGTGCTTGTATTCTGTATTAATTTCGAAAAACGCACGTAACTCATTCAAATTATCATTTCCGTACGAATATTCATGACATAGAGCCACACTAAGTTCATACTTCTCGTTGAGCATCTCTTCAGCATCATAACATACACTCAAATTATAATTTGGTGGTCGGCTAATTCCCAAGCCAACCTCTTCATAGCAGAATCCAACTCTACCGCTTCCGGCCACTCTTCGGCTGAATATTGCATCCATATGTTCGTAGGACAAAGAGCTCTGAAAACACACACATCAGTTTGATATTCTGTTGCAAAAACAGCAGTCATTTGGAATTCGGTCATGTTTTGAAGCGAAAGAGCCATTCAATATTTCACATTGATATACCATATTTCTACTATTTACAAAGAGATGGAAATTGTAATCAATCTAAAATATCGAATTTGAACAGTGAGCG